TACTTACTTTACACCTCTACATTTGAAAGATGTAACTATCTGATATCGTATCAATCATGCAGCTGGTTTAGGAAAAAAAAAACAGGGAAATAATCATGTAACCACCTGCAGCAGATCACTTGCATAAACTGAACTCACAACGATTTCAAAACTCTGCAATCACAAGAGAAGTGTTGTGTAATGTGATCAATTGAGTAATACAATGCAACTACAAGTCTTTTAGTTTCAACATGGCTTTTATATTGGGTATATTATCTCTAGAATGGGAGGAATTATGAACCAGTTTGTATGCTTAAAAAAACGGTTAAAATATGGGAAAAAATCACATTGCATTGCTTTTCTTCAGACATTTATTGTGTAATGTCGTGCGAGTCTTTATTTTTGAGCCATGTTATTCAGATTTTATTAATTACTAAGTGATAATTACCATTTGTATCTATTTTTGACTTTCTATGGTTCTTTACGAATTCTTCGTTTTAATTAAAGAGTCACAATTTTAGGACATTTTTGGTTTTGCAAAAGCACACGTTGTCTTTAGTTTTCAAAGCTCCCTCTGTTTTGCATATTGATTTGTTTAAATAGTTCTCCAGAGGCTACAGCTCATTCAAATGCAGTTCATAGAACAATGTACATTTTTTTATCATATATTTGGAAATGCCTTCAGGTATTCTTGTTGAAGCGGTTTACCTGTTGAAGCGGTTATGTATGCAAACAAAAAGAAAAGAAAGAAAGGAAAATAACAAAATCTTTAACACTTTGCAGGTTTTTGCAAATTGGTTTTATTGCACGATTTACATTTTTTCTTTTGCAAACATGTTTAGCCACACTATTCCTGATTTTGCGCCACTACCCATAATTCATAGCGGAAGCGGGTTCCATATTTCCACTTGGCTGTTGTTTACAATTACGAGGATACACCATCGCTGTTTATCAAAGCATTTTTCATTGAAATTTGGCGTAGATGGCCATATATCGGAGGTGCATATACTGTAAGGATGTTTTGAAAAGCGGCAAGGACAATTCTTTAACAGTGGCTCACTCGTCACTGCTCACGGGCTGATGAAGCTATGTCCCGATGTTAGCTGCTACTACCGACATCAACTACCTCGTCATTCCCCAAACACACACACACATGCAAAATCATAAATGTCAACCGTTCTGGAAGTAAAATGTTCATAAGCCCCTCAGAATTGCAATAATTTTATAGAAGTATTATAATTAGATGGTTTCTCTCCCTTGTTCTAAACATAAAATTCACTGGGTGCTAAGTTCGTTAGTAACTTTAAGAGATGAACTGGAGGGTTTCATACAGCTGCAGTCATTTTAATAAATGATAAACAAAAATAAATAAACTGCCTCTGATAACTTTTTAAGCATATTTTTTATTTATCAAACTGGACACTTTTATAGCCCCTGGGTGCTACTAAGCTTGTCTTTTAATCCTGCCATGATGTAAACAACATATTTTAGCACGTAGTTGAGAAGAAGATTGTTTATAATTCTGAGTTTAAGAACTGAGACAGTTAAGCCATTTATATAGTTTTGCCAGCATGCGGCTACTAACCATAGGCAAAATATTTCTTTAAAGTTAAGATCAGTTGCAAATAACATGCTAAACAACCAGGCTGACAGTAGCTAGTGCTGATGCTAACGCCATTCAACTGAGGCTTTTATTCAGTAAAAGAAAAGAGCTGCGCGATTAAATAGCAACAGGGGAAACACAACATTTAGAGTTTAACTCACCAGGTACAGATTCAGGGTTTTAGTTGATATTGATGGAAGCTGTCTGACTCAGTGGTTCAGATGAGACGCCTTCGGTAACAGCCTTAGCCCAGATAGAGCTCTGGATTGGAGTGAATATCCACGGGATTTTTGTCGATAAAATGAAAAAAAAAAAAAAAAGAAAAAAAAGAAAAGCAAACTCTCTTTGGTGGATTTTTCAGATTTAAAGCTGCAGCCATGTTAGTTTACGATCCTTCTTTATTGGCATAAAGTGCAGTTTGTAGGGCGCTGAGCCTTTACTACTACTTGTTCCAGCCAAAATATTTCTAAAGCGTTTCTCAGTTTTCTTCAATTGTTGTGGCAGCCGACAAACACACAAGATGAACACGAACTCATGATTGAACTGCTCAAGCTGCCAGTAAAGCAGAAACAAACTAAATTTGTCATCATAACTATCTGAATGAGTGAATTTCTTGCGCACAGGAAAAGTCAAACAGTCGGGACGGCTGTGGGCGGGGCTAGTGGCTGTCATGGCAGCCTACATGCGCGTTCCTAGAAACATGTGGATACAAAGTGACTTGCAAAAGGTCAACGTGAGTTAACGTCTTCCTAAAGAAAATTGGACGTTGCACCATGTTTTTCAAAGTGATGAAAACCCACCTCTGCTGACTTTAAACTTTTATTAAAAGGCAGTTCAGCAAACACTCTTGTTTTTTTAAAACTGTTGCGGAAGTGGATTGTATTTACCTGTGGTGTTTCCCACTGTGTTTGTGTGAGTGTTTTACCATAAACTGAGTTGACACAGAGAAAGCTCAACAAAATACACAAACTTCTCTTTATAACAGTGGTTGCAGTATCCATCTTCTTTACTATCGTTCTTGTACAATCATAATAAAACTGTGCATCATGGAGAGTCATTAATCATTCCCAAAGCTAAAGTTACTGACAGTGTACCTGTCAAACCTTCATCAGTCTTTTATGAACACATGATATTAAAAACTACTATTTCCATACAAATTAGGTTTCAAAATCTGTTATGAAAATCTTCCTGGTTATATTTTTCTGACTTTTACTGTGTTTAATGTTCCAGATGTGATGCCAGCTGGCTCTTCTTTAACCCATTTAAGACGTTCATTGGGATTACAATTTAACATACAATTAAAAAAAAACTGAGTTAGCCATAATCAGTTTTAAAACACTTTGAACGAAAATTTGCATAGTACCCGCCGTTTCACTGTGATCTGATAATAATTATTTAGAATGCTTTCTTTCAGTTTCCAATGCAAATCAGCAGTTTTTTAAGTTGTATGTATTTTAAACTTCTTTCTTTGCTATGTATTTTTCCCAAAATAATAAAAAAAGTCTTTTCTGCCATTCTTTCTATAACATAAAAAACTGTGATGTCTTGAAATTTAGAAATACTTTGTAGAAAGTGAATTAAAACTTTAGAGAAAGAATCACATTCATGGGAAGTTATGTTAACAATAAGAAACCTTTATTGTTATTTGTTTTAACATTTCCAGACTGTAACTGTCAAATAAAGGCCCTGTCACACTAGAATGATTTAGACAACTTATGCAAACCTGTGAAAATTTTAAAGACATCTACGTTGAAAATGAAATATAAAAAGTCATCAGGAAGCCTATTAGGTGTGTACATACTGTAATGCTAACACATTGATCAAATATATTGATTTGATTTATTGATTTAACAGGAAAATATTACTAAAAATCAAGCCTGACTCAGCATAATTGCTGTTTCACAGCAGGTTCCTGTTCTGCAGCACACAAACACTCAGAATATAACTTTTATTAATAATTTAGGCATAAAACAAATGTCATAAGTTGTCTAAAAACATTATAGTGTGAGAGGACCTTTTTGTATGTTTTAATTTATCTTGTTTTAGTTATGAAGCCTAGGCGTAGATTCAGACTGGAAGACTTCTCATCTCACCTGCTTCACCTGCCTGCTGCATCAAGTACCCAGCTGCAGCTCATCAGCGCCTGATCCTCACCTCACCGCAACCAATCATCACGCCGAGATCTTAAAAGGCCCTGAATCCAAGGATTCACTGCTCCCCAGATGAGTTTTGACCCACCTCCACCCTGCCTCCACCCTCAGCCCGAGGTCCGGCTACCTCTTCCCTCCGGCCTTCTCCCCACCTCCAGTGCCCGGGCCCCGGGGGGAAACATTATCTCTAAGCTGATCCTCTCCACTCATGTCTTCTGCCGGGGCTCGAGCGCCAAGCTCCTCTTCATTCATTCATATCAATAAAACTCTTTAACTGCTATTGTTTTCTCTGTGAGTTTTTCCAGGTTGAAATGATTCTTCTCTGGTTGTGTGATTCTGTTTCTATCTTACAGTTTGCTTTTAAATTAAAAGGATGGTTTTTTTTCTGTAGCAAAAGCCCAGAATTTGTTTAGCTCTAAATATCTTTTTGTAACTGTCATGCTAGTACCATGTCTGTACCTCTCTGAAGGCTGGTAGCTACAGAACAAAACTGAAGGCCAAACATGTCAATACACAGAAATCTTTAGAAACACTTAAAATAAATTACATTAAATTCACGTTGCACTACCTAAAAGTTTGTTATATACTGTGTATATATATATATATATATATATATATAACTTTT